GTATCTGTGCGTGTTTGTTATATAGGTAAACTTGTGTCATGGGAGTTTGTTGTACAGATTATTTCATCACCCAGGTATTAAGTCTAGTACCCATTAGTTATTTTTCCTGATCTTCTCCCTCCTCTCACCCTCTAGCCTTCAAAAGTCCACAGTGTGTATTGTTCCCCTCTATGTGTTCATGTGTTCTCATGATTTAGCTCCCACTTATAAGTGAGAACACGTGGTATTTGGTTTTCTGTTGGTGTTATATTTCAATACTGGAGATAGTGAGGCAGGAAAACAGGGTCTGGAGGCAGGAAACATAAGGCTGATTCACACTTCGGCTATGACAGGAAATGTCCTCTCCATAATAAATGACAACTTTACTTCATCCTCTTCATTTACATAGGGTGTACACCAAGTAGAGGATATTTAAACTCAAAAAAACTGTGTAACAGTGCCCTTGAGCCCCTATGCTCGGGCCTGCTCCCACACTGTGGAGTGTACTTTCATTTTCAGTAAATCCCTTGATTCCTTCCTTGCTTTGTTTGTGCGTTTTGTCCAATTCTTTGTTCAAGACGCCAAGAACCTGGACACCCTCCACCAGTGACAATAGCAGTGGTAGAGTCTCCCAAGGTGCTGCCAAAGGTGTTGGCACTAACGTTGCTGAAATGTTAGAATGAAGGTTTTTTTGTTTTTGTTTTTTGAGACAGAGTCTCATTTTGTCACCCAGGCTGGAGTGCAGTGGGGTGATCTTGGCTCCCTGCAACCTCTGCCTCCCAGGTTCAAGCGATTCTCCTGGCTCAGCCTCCTGAGTAGCTGGGATTACAGGTGCCTGCCCGGCTAATTTTTGTATTTTTAGTAGAGACAGAGTTTCACCATGTTGGCCAGGCTGGTCTCGAACTCCTGACCTCGTGATCTGGCCACCTTGGCCTCCCAAAGTGCTGGAATTACAGGCGTGAGCCATTGTGTCCAGCTAGAATGAAGTTCTTTTCATCTTCACTTGTTTTATTAGTGATTCTTTGCTGTAAGATTCAGGTGTGGGTTCTAGGGGGGCTGGGCCAGATGATATCTGTGACACGCGCTCTGGTAGGTTCATAATGTAGCCAAGCTCCTTACACAGGCTCAACTGCCTTTGAGTCAAATTATATGACACTCTTAACTTTAAACAATTTATTTCCCAGGAGGCTTCTTGGTGTTTATGCCTTATCAAACATCCTGATTGGCCCAGACATTTGTGCCTGATTTTTAGAGTAAACATGACTTAATTTCATGATGGGGTTCTCTGTTTTGCTAGGATGGTAAGAAGAAAGGAAAAGGGAGAGGAAATTGAAGTTCACTGGACAGTTCAGTTTGTCAGACATTTGCTGAATACCCACTGTGTGCTTCACAACAATCTTGCAAAGCTGCCATTATTATACTCGTTTTGCTGGTAAAGAAACTGATGCTCAGTTGGTTAAAGTAATGAGATCAACATCACACAGACAGTAAATGACACAGTTAAAATTTGAAACCAGGTTTTCTCACTTGAATTGTCTCTACCTCTGGTAATATTCTGTGCTTTTATCACAAGAAATAGTTATATTTGTCGCTAGGGGATTAGGGTTAAATGTAAATGTAAATGATTCTTCAGCTGGGATTGGTATGCATTTGTGTGTTTATTTTTCTGGGGAGAAGACCCATAGCTTTTATCATATCAAAAAATAATTAGGGCTGGGCGCGATGGCTCACATCTGTAATCCCAGCACTTTGGGAGGCCGAGGTGGGCAGATGACCTGAGGTCAGGAGCTTGAGACCAACCTGGCCAACATGGCGAAACCCCATCTCTGCTTAAAAAAATACAAAAATTCTCCAAATTAGCCAGGCATGGTGGTGGGCACCTGTAATCCCAGCTACTCAGGAGGCTGAGGCAGGAGAACTGCTTGAACCTGGGAGGTGGAGTTTGCAGTGAGCCGAGATGGTGCCACTGCACTCCAGCCTAGGTGACAGAACAAGACTCCGTCTCAAAAAAAAGAAAAAGAAAAAGAAAAAAATTAGGAATCACTGATATATGTACTGTCAGATGGACTTAGATTTACATTCCACCTCTGACATTGACCACCTGTGTGATTTTGGCCAGTTAGTTAAACTCTTGGAACCTCCTTTTTCTCATTAGTAAAATGGTGTACATGAGAAAAAACTCCTAGAATGTCATTCCCTAATTGTGTGAACCTACTTGTTATTTTAGATCTCTCAGAGGTTTTTCCAAGCTTTTGTTCTCTCTCTAGCCCCTTAAATAAGTTTATCAGGTATTTGTGACTACTACTTATATTCTCAGACTGCATTTGTGCCTGGACCTTCTCGTTAGCAGGTGGATGGTTGAACAAACTGTGGTACATCCATACAAGGAAATACTACCTAGCGATAAAAAGGAACTGTTTATCCATGTGAGTTTGCACATAGATCTCAAGAGCCTTAGGCTGAGTGAAAAAAAAAAAAAAAAAGTCAGACTCAAAAAGCTACATAATGGCCAGGTGCAGTGGCTCACGCCTATAATCCCAGCACTTTGGGAGGCAGAGGTAGGCCCATCCCTTGAGCCCAGGAATTCAAGGCCAGCCTGGACAACAAGGTAAAACCCCATTTCTACAGAAAATATAAAAATTAGCTGGGTGTGGTGGTGCATGCCTATAGTTCCAGCTACTCAGGAGGCAGAGGTGGGAGGATCACCCAAGCCCAGGAGGTCAAGACTGGTGAGCCAAGCTGTGATCATGCCACTGCAGGCCAGCCTGAGTGATAGAGTGAGACCTTATCTCACAAAAAAAAAAAAAAAAAGCTAAAGACTATATGATTCTATTTACATGACATTCTGGAAAAAATAAAACTACAGGGACAGAAATCAGATCGGATGTTACCAAATGCTGGAATAGAGACATTGATACAAAATGTGTGAAATGCAGAATTTTTGACCCTATGGCCCTACTGTTGTTATGCCCATACCCATAAATGCATTATGTTATATGGCAAAATAGACTTTGCACATGTAATTCAAGTTACTAATTAGTTGACCTTAAAATAGTGATATTATCCTGGATTATTCAAGTGGGCCCAGTGAAATCACATGACCTTTTAAAAGCAGAAGAAGTCAGAGAAGTTTGAAGTATAAGAAGGATTCAACTCACTGCTGACTTGAAGGTGGAGAAGGTCAAGTGTCCAAAAAATGGGGACCTCAGTCCTAGAGCTGCAGGGAACAGAATCCAGCCAACAGCCTGAACGAGCTTCTAAGCAGATTTTACTCAGAGCCTCTAGAAAGGAGCTCAGCCTATGCAACACTTTGATGTTTTGTGAGATCCTTAGCAGAGAGCCCCGCCATACTGTCCTAAATTCTGCCATATGGGAGTGTGCTACAGTAAAATGGGTGCTGCTATCAACCACTAAGTTTGTGGTACATTATTATTCCAGTAATAGAAAACTAACACAAAAGGGCATGAAGGAATTTTTTTGATTACAGTAGAAATACTCTGTATCTTTATTGTGGTGTTGGTTATACAACTGAATAAGTTTGTTAAAATTCATTGACCTGTACATTTTAAAAGACTAAAGTTTACTTTATGCAAATCATGCCTCAATAACCCTACAAAAGGTAAAACTCATCAAATTATACTTTAAATGGGTAAATCTTATTGTTTATAAACTATACTACAAATAAAATGGGTTTAAAAAGAAACAGCAGGCCAGTACAATGGCTCATGCTTGTAACCTCAGCAATTTGGGAGGCCTGGGTGGGAGAATAACATTTTTTTCTTTTTTTTTTTTTTTTTTTTGAGATGGAGTCTCACTCTATCACCCAGGATGGAGTCCTGTGATGCAATCTTGGCTCACTGCAACCTCTGCCTCCTGGGCTCAAGCAATTCTCGAGCCTTAGCCTCCTGAGTAGCTGGGATTACAGGCGTACACCACCACACTGACTAATTTTTGTATTTTTAGTAGAGATGGGATTTCACCATCTTTGCCAGGCTAGTCTCGAACTCCTGACCTCAGGTGACTCACCTGCCAAGGCTTCCCAAAGTGCTGGGATTGCAGGTGTGAGCCACCAAGCCTGGCCTGTCGGAGGATTACTTAAAGCCAGGAATCGACAAGACTGAGCAACAAAGTGAGACTCCCATATCTACTAAAAAAAATTTAAAAATTAGCTGGGCATCGCGGTGCCTGTCGTCCCAGCTACTTAGGAGGCTGAGGCAGGAGGATCACTTGAGCCCAGGAGTTCGAGGCTGCAGTGAGCCATGATTCTGTCACTGAACTCCAGCCTGGGCATCAGACTGAGACCCTGTACATACATACATACATACATACATACATACATACATACATAAACATTAAAAGAAACAACAAAATTCTAGTTCAAGAGTGATCTATTAGAGTTTTCCCTTGCTCCCATTTCCCCCAGTAGAGATAATCAACCATGTCTTTTTTCCTACTACGACTGTACTTTATTATTTACTTCTATTTTTCTCCCAAGACTATATTGTTATTTTGAATTACATGTGTATTGCTAGTAGACTCCCTGAGCAGAGGGACCATGTCTTCATCTCTGGATCATGAGTGCCTAAAATACAGTAGGTGCTGTATCATTTTTATTTGATTTGCATGATTGCACATGAATATATCTAAAACTTTCTAAATGTTTCTTTCAAATTTTTTCTGCCTGGATCTCTTCCTAGTGGTAATAAATTGTATATATTTATTACTGCATAAAGCATTGCTATTTTTACATTCAAAACCACTTTCTTAAACGTCAAGGGAATCACACCCAATTTTTGGTATTCTTGAATACAGTGAAATTGCTCATGTGTACATCACCTCTTACACTTCATTTGTAGATTTTTACAGCATATCCTTTTTAGATCATTTTTTCTAAAAAGATATCCAACTTAAAATTCTATTTCAACAATACAGATGGTCCCTGACTTATGATTGTTTGACATAGGATTTTTCAATTGTACGATGGTGCGAAAGAGACACACAGGCCATAGAAACTGTACTTTGAGTACCCATACAACCATTTTATCTTTCATTTTCAGTACAATATTCAATAAATTACATGAGATATTAAACCGTTTATGATAAAATAGGGTTTGTGTTACATCAGCCCAACTATATGCTGATGTAGGTGTTCTGGGCACATTTAAGGTTGGCTAGGCCAAGCTAGGATATTCAGTAAGTTAGGTGTGTCAAATGAATTTTCAACTCACAGTATTTTTAACTTGTGACAGGTTTATCAGGATGTAATCCCCTCAAAAGTCGAGGAGCATCTGTATATATGTCCATTTATATCATAAATATTTACACTTTTATTTGTCAATTATACCTTAATAAAGCTGGGGAAAAATATATATGTCCATCATAGGTAGGATTGCCCAGTAAAATACATTATACCCCATTAAATTTGAATTTCAGGAAAACAACAAACAATTTTTAGTATAAGTGTGTTCTGTGCAATACTTAACTGAGCATCCTTTGTTGGGAGAGTGGCTGACTCTGGCAATCCTAGTCATATGGTACACATGACCAAGTTTAAGGTTAAATCAGGAAGAGATTGAAGCATCCTCCTTTAGACTGTGGTTAAGAGTGGTGAAAATAAGTTTTGATTAAACAGTAAAATGACACCAAGTAGAAACGGGTGTTATTTATTAAGCAAGATATTGTTTTGTGTAGCAGACACCTCATGAAAACACTCTAGCTCAGCTAGATGCTTTTTGTTAGAGACCTGGAAAAGTAGGATTGTTGCCTTGTATTACAAGGGCATTTGAAAGTTGTGTTCTATAAATTATATAACTTGTCTGGGCCCACATTCTACCTCAACCTCTGCCTACTCCAGGCTTCCTGCCTCTTCAGGATGGGCGAGATGCCTCTAGTACTTAGATAGCAAATTCTTGTCACACCTAGTGCCATTCTCCCAACCAAGGCAAATCATCACAGCTTATAGTACACTTTATCTACTGAGCCTGAAAACAGCCTCAGAGTCTTTCTTAGCACTGTGTGTTTTTTTGAAACAGCTATTATTAATTCATTAGAATTTGCACCAAAAAATAAATCTGTTTAGCATCACTAGTCTCACAGCTGCCATGTTATTCACTGTGCAAGGGCACCTGAATTAGAGAATAAAATGGGGCTGATACCCAACTCATGCTCTGTACATCATGGTGTGGGGCTGCATTCCAAGAGTCTTTTTCTAAATCACATAAGGCACAGACTAGTAGCAGCTCTGTGTGTTCTAGGGGAATAACCAGGGGGTTACTTGGTGAAATTAATAAGGGAGAGAATATTTCAAAGGAAGAGAGATGAGTTGAAGCATCTATAGTTGAAGAATGGCCTGAACCTTGGCTTCTGAGCATGCTCAACAGTACATGCCCTTCAGTTGGAGAAATTTGAATATAACATTAAGCCGGCAGGGCATGGTGGCTCAAGTCTGTAATCCCAGCGCTTTGGGAGGCCAAAGCAGGTGGATTGCTTGAGCCCAGGAGTTCTACATCAGCCTGGGCAACATAACGAAAACCTATCTCCACAAAAATAAAAATAAAAAATTACCCGGGCGTGGTGGTGCACGCCTGTCATCCCAGCTACCCCGGAGCCTGAGGTGGGAAGATCTCCTGAACCCGGGAAGTTGAAGCTGCAGTGAGTCATGATTGTGCCACTGCACTGCAGCCTGGGCGACAGAGTGAGACCTAATCTCCAAATATACATATATGTACATGTGTATGTATATGTGTGCGTGTGTGTGTGTATAAAACATTAGCCCAAAAGCAATTTCCTATTTAATGATTCATTTTTGTTGTTTGTTTAGCTGTGTTCTGTATTTAAAAAAATACATACATGACATCCTGATTTTCCACAATAGAGAAATTAAATGATAAACGATTCATAGATCTACAGTTCCCCAGGTGATTCTGATGTACACAACTTAGTTGAGGCCCAGGTAGCCTAAAGAGTATGACAATTGGCCTGGAGGGAGAATCAAACCAGAACCATTATGAACATAAATAAGACAGTTAACCTGCCCCTTACCTGTAGGTAAGGGCATCCTGACATTCACCATTCTGTAATGAGAAGCTCCCGGTAAATGAGGATGTGTGGGACTGAAGAAATTGTCGGAAATTCAAGAAATTTAATTAGAGAAAATAGAATAGCCAAACTACAGCCCAAGGCTGAGGCCACTGGAGATAAAACTGTTTAGGACATATGCTCTGGCAAGATACCAGTAACAAAATCTGGCAGCCACATGGCCCTCTGATGAGGCTTACCTTTAGCCAGTTTCAATATGAAGAGTTGTCCTTTATATATAGCTTATATCCCGCCTTGCTTTCTGTCCCCTTCAGCGTTTCAGTTGCTTGTCTCAGGATCTTCTCCAAATGTATTTTTCCTGTCTTGTACATAGATCAGAACTATAAAAAAGAGCCCAGATGCAGACACCTCAAGGATTTACAAAAGAAAAAAAATAGGATGACTGCTTACTGGTTTTTCCTCCAATTTGTCTTAATGACGTTCAACATTTTCCTGATTATTTTGACCGAAACAATACTTGGGCAGCTGTCCTCAGGGAATAGTCTATAAAGGACTCTTGGCACCCCTTCCAGGGATGACAAGTCAGAACTTGTCATTTTAACATATGCTTGAAGAAATCAAGAAGTAAGGAGATTTTAGGGGGAGAAATATAGATGTGATTTGAAAAGCCAATTCCAATAGAGATAAGTTGTTGGGATGGACTTCTATGGTAGAAAAAAAAAAAAAGAGTAGAGGCCAGGCGCAATGGCTCACACTTGTAATCCCAGCACTTTGGGAGGCTGATGCAGGGGGATTTCTTGAGCCCAGGAGTTCAAGACAAGCCTGGACAACATAGTAAAACCCCCTCTAAAACTAGCTGGGTATGGTGGCACTTGCCTGTAGTCCTACATATTTAGTAGGCTGAGGCAGGAGGATCGCTTGAGACAAAGAATTTGATGCTATGGTGAGCTATAATTGTGCCATTGCACTCCAGCCTGGGCAACAGAAAGAGATCCTGTTTCTAAAAAAAAACAAAACAAAGCAGTGGTATAACTGCCTGGGGAGTAATTCTGTCTAGCTAGAATGTAATGTGAATAAAGTCATGATGGATGCGGGGGTTATAAATGTGGGTTGGGACCAATGTACTCATGTACTTTCTCTTCAAATATAATTTGTTAAAATGATAATTTAGGCCAATCTCAAGGCCAATTTTAAGAAGATTCTGCCATTAACAGTTAAGATATCTCTAAAATGGGATAATAGAATCTATTCTATTTTCCTTACCAGAATACTGTGATTACCAGATGGCATAAGGGTTATGGAAGACCTTGGGTAATTGACAAGTTGTCAATTACAATTACAGAGTGGTCATATTGCCTACAAAATTCCCCATCAGCTCCTCCTACTCATCTCTAAGCTCTTATATTATATGTCCTACAATGCTATGTTGACTGTAATCAAAATACTTCTTGGTTTAAAAACTTTCAAAGTTGGGGTTTTCTTTAAGTTTAAAGTTCTTTTCTCTAAGGCTCCCACTTTTGTATCTACTTTCTACTTATCCCAAACTCTAGTATAGCATGATTTTCTGTTATGGAAATCAAGCAGGTTTTCTCCATTACGTTCTGTCCTTCTGTGTTTTCATAATCCTAATGTTTACTCTCCATTTAACCAGATTACTCAATGGATCATGAGACTATCTGGAGTCTGTAGCTTCCAGAAGCCTCTCTGGAGTATTTGTCTTGCATTTATTCTGAAGAATGGTCTGCCAGAAATAAAAAGTTGACAGACAGCAGATTGTTAAGAGTATTGGAAGGCATAAAAGTATAATGGCTAAGAGAGGAGTTGGATTGCCTCAATCTATAATCCTGGCTTTATCTGTTTCCTCTTTATAATATAGGATCGTTTCAACTGTTGAGTTAGATAGCATATGGAAACTGCTTAGCACCAGGCATGATGTATACGGAGTGCTTAATTAGTGTTACCTATTATCATCATTGTCATCACTATATAAATAATAAAGTTGACTGTTTTGATTTGTAAGTATTCTATATGAATATGTATGCAAAAGCATTTCAATCTAATAAGCAACCACAAGGCTAATCTCCATTACTTATGTGTAGTCAAAGTACATAGATTCATGGCTTATGCCTCAGATAATTGAAAACCCACCACTTTCATTTAGGTGGCTGTTTGGAGAAAATACGTCACAATTGCATAATGCTTTATGATTTAAAAGAACCTTTTAAGCATATTTGCACTTAAGCCTCATAATAAATGATTAGAAAGATGACTGGACTTTTCCAATACTACACAATAATTGTGCAATAAAACTGATATTAGAACCTAAGTCTTGATCCTTATATCATGAAAGACTTCTTTATTATTTGTTAAGATCCCCTGGACCATCTTGACATCACAAAACAAGTATATGTTAGAAAAGTTTTTATTTTAAGAAAAATATCCAAAAGTTTGCAGCCAGACGCGGTGACTCACATCTATAATCCCAGCACTTGTGGGGACGTTGAGATGGGAGGATTGATTGAGCCTAGGAGTTCAAGACCGGCCTGGGCAACACAGTGGGACCCCATGCCTATGAAAAAAACAAACAAACAAACAAAAATGTTTTAATTAAATAAAATGCAAATAAATAAAAGTTTGTATGGCATATTTATAAAGAAATTTATAAGACTTAAGGTGACCAATGGAATAGGCATAATAGAATGCCCATTCCCCTCAAAGCCCAAAGAAAATGTAAGACTTTCTTTGTGACTGCCCAGGTTGTAAATTTCATCATGTTTCAGATTCTCAGACCTCAGTGGTCAGAGATACTCAAGGAGAATTTTATTTAAGACTATTAAGTGTAAAAAGCAGCTACAGATGGAGTACTTCTATAATTTTACTTCATCCTTGGTGAAAGATATTTTCATTCCATGCTGGGAAATGTTCTTTTTCCATCACTCAGATTACTTTATGAGCTATTTGCTTTGCCAGTAACTACTTTTCTTCCTCTTTTAATGGAATGAAATGGGCAAGGTTAAGGCTCATTATCAAATTGGAATGCAGAAGCAACATTTACCATACTTCAAATTTGCCACTGTAGAAACTGTAAAAAATATATGTATATTCTTTGTATAACATTATGTATGTTAGTAATATCAAAAAATAATAAAATAAAATCCCCAGAATTTTCTGCTTTCTCAAATAAATTCATTAAGTGTAAAGAAAGAACTCATTTTTAAGATCTTCTGATTTACACATTCAAAGCATTGAGAGGGTAGATTCCAGATTGATAACCATAAGGGTCTTTAAAGTGGTATTTTTAGGCAGGGCACGGTGGCTCATGCCTGTAATCCCAGCATGTTGGGAGGCCAAGGCGGGTGGATCTCCTAAGCTCAGGAGTTTGAGACCAGCCTGGGCAACGTGGAGAAACCCCGTTTCTACCAAAAATACAAAATGGGCAACATGGAGACACTCCATTTCTACCAAAAATACAAAAAAAAAAAAGCCTGCCCGGTCCGTGCCTGTGGTCCCAGTTACTCAAGAGGCTGAGGTGGACGATCGCTTGAGCAACAAGGGATTTATATATATATATAATATAATATATATATTATATATATATATTCTTTTTTACAGTTTCTGCATTGGCAAATTTGAAACACACAAACACACACACACATATACACACACATACACACATAAGTTTGTTACCCACTGAAAAACTCTGAAGAGACCTTGATGCATTCAAAGCTATGAAATTTAGTGAAATATTTAAACTCACTAAAAACAAGCAATTGAAGTAAGATATTTCATGTTTCTTAAAATTTTAACTGTCCAAAAGATTTTGAATTCTCAGAACGTAGGGTTAGTCTCTCTATCTGTATATGAATATAAAATTAGTTACCAGTCATTACATAATAAATAAAATTTTTTAAATTTCAATCCTCCTTCTTCTGTAACAAACTAAATATCAACAAATTTTAGGCTGGGCACAGTGGCTCACGTCTGTAATTCCAGCACTTTGGGAGGCTGAGGCAGGCGGATCGCCTGAGATCAAGAGTTCAAGTCCAGCCTGGCCAACACGGTAAAACCCCATCTCTACTGAAAATATAAAAATTATCCAGGCATAGTGGTGGGTGCCTGTTGTCCCAGCTACTCAGGAGGCTGAGGTACAAGAATCACTTGAACCCAGGAGATGGAGGTTGTAGTGAGCCAAGGTCATGCACTGCACCCCAGTCTGCGTGAGAGAGGAAGACTCTGTCTCAGAAAAAAGAAAAGAAAAGAAAACAAAACAAAACAAAACAAATTTTATTTCTGGATATGAGTAGGTGAATAGATCACACTAACTGATAGAGAGAATGGGGAAAAAAGGAATGATAATTGTGTAGCACAGTACCTATTCTAAGGTTCACATTCTATATGGAACAGGGCATACGACATCACTTTTTGTTATTTTCAAAAAATATAAAGATACTCAAAGTTCAAGATTAATGATTTTATGCTATAACACCTCAACAC